AGGCACTGTTTGGAACTGTGAATGCAGCAATGAATAAAACAGGTAGAATTCATGTTTCCATGCAGCTAACACTCTAGCTTTCTGGTTTTTGAGTCATGCATCCATTCATTTACAAGTACGATTCTGATCATTTGTTTCTGAGACTACTAGGGCCAGGAGCTTCCTAAGCCATGGCCATAGAGGGGATTCTAAAGACTAGAAGAGCCCAGGAAGGCAGGGGGAGGAGGCCAGAATGGGACAGACTCCACCTTAGAAAATTTAGGTCGTTCGTCAGGAAAATGAATGTGATGTCGAATATACAGAATGGGATTAGGAAGGGAATGGTGTGTTAGGATGAGGGCAGCAACAAGTTACAAAATTTCAAAAGCTGGTAAACATCACAAACAGCATAAAATGTAGACATGGTGCTAAGGCTGAGCTCTTAAATGTCACCCATGAGCTGAAGCCTTGGTTAGCAGCCTGTAGCACTACTGGAAAGGAAGGGAATCTTTAGGAGACAGAGCCTAGTGGCAGGAAGTTAGGTGACTGGGAATAGTCCTTGAAAGAGATATGAGGACCCTGGATATCTCCCCACCCCACACCACTCTCACACTCTCTACCACTTTCCCTCCCCTTCTCCCTCTCCCTCCTTCTCCTCTCCCTTTCTCCTTCCCTTCCCCCCGAGACACAGTGAGGTGAACAACAGACCTGCTGCTCTTCCAGGCCTTATCACCCTGTTCTACCTCACCAAAGCACCACAACAACATGGATTGAAACCGCAGGCCAAAGCAAAACTTTTCTTCTTTTAAGTCGATTGTCTCAACTATTTTGTCACAACATTGGAAAATTAACACATAGTTTTATTAATTGACTGGATGATATAGCTCTGTATTAATTTCTACTTTTTTGCTGATTAATCATGACAATGCTTTTGTTGTATTATTTTCTATAAAGAGCCTAGGGAAATACTTCTGTCCTACAAGGTTAACTTTTTATGTGTGGATAATCTGACAGTTTTCTTTATGTTGTAAAGCTTAATGACATGTTAATTCCTAGGATTGTTGTGAATTTGGGGAAATTGCTAAGCTTCTTTCGTATTGGAACTCTTAAGTCTTACTGTATAGTGACTAATTCTAAATATTCTTTGAGCTGACAGCACTTTAACCAGCTTATTTTTGGTGTCCCCACTGTAATGATATATTATGAGCTGTCTGTTTTCTTCATCCATGCCAGCATTTCATGTCAAGAAATAGAAAAGCTTAACTCTTTCTCAGTACATTTATGACTCACTCCTTTTTTTGAGACAGTCTCACTGTATAGTTCTCCCTGACGATGTAGACCAGGCTGGCCCCAAACTAGCAGAGATCCACTTCCTTCTGCCTCCTGAGTGATGGGATCAAAGGTATGCACTTTTGTGCTCAACCCTGATTCTCTCCTTTTAATTAATTAATTGATTGATTAATTAATTAATTTTTGAGACAGGATCTCACTATGTAACTCTGGCTGTCCTGAAACTTTCTGTGTAGAACAAGCTGACTTTGAACTCACAAAGGTATGCCTGCCTCTGTCTCCCAAGTGCTGGGATTAAAGGCCTGTTCTACTATGCCAGGCCTTCCTTTAAATTAATTAGATTATTAAATGATCAATAATATACTCATCATTTTGACTTGGAATGTATCTGCTTCTCTTAATGAATTACTAGTCCATTATGCTCTGCAGGACATCTCCTTTATAGGCACCAGACATTGCCAAGGCAGACACTCCACATAAGATTTGACCTACTACAATGAAATCATACAACAAACACTCCTACTGGCTGCTTGTAGTATTGCTACATGTCTGTGCTCAACAAGCACAAGTCTGTGCATTTTGGGTTTTGTTGTTGTTTTAATTAGAAAGGAAGAAAATTATATATTACACCAATGACTGTATATGCTGCATTGCCAGAAGATTTCTGTTGGGTGTATCCATGCACATTTATATGTGTATTCCTGCATGCGAATATGGGTATGTTCCTGCCATGACAAGTGTTTAAAGATCAAAGCTATGTTTTTTGTTTTGTTTTGTTTTTTTTCACCGTGATAGGCCTCTCCACAGATGCAGCAATCCAAATCAGACCAAATTAGGTAAAGGCCCGGTTTAATGGGTAAAGTGTTCCTGGGTGATTTCCTTCCTGGTCCCCTGCAGAGAGGCAACAGGAAGAGAGACCAGAAGAACCACATGTCTGTTTTCTGGGATGCAGCTTATATACCCTGTGGGAGTGGTCTTGAGCCTCTCTGGGGGAGGAGCTGTGTTTGGTGAGCTTTGAAGGGGCAGGTTTGGGGAAAGAGATGGGAGAGGGGAGTTGAGATGGATCTTCCACCAAAACATTCCAGACTCTTTGGGTATAGGGATGCCAGGGTGCCAGGGGTTGAGGTGGAGCTCCCACCCAAACACAAACGACAACCCCAGGAGTGAATCCTCACCTTCCATCTTTTTTGAAACAGGGTTTGTTGTTTTTCAGGCTAGCTGTCTGAGAGCTTCTGGGTGTTCACCTGTCTTCACCTTCCATTTCTGTGTAGGAGCACGGGAGTTACAGACACTTATACCGTGTGTCCAGGTTTTACATGGTCCTGGGGATTTGAACTCAGGCCCTTACACTTCATGGCAAGTACTTTTACAGACTGAGCCCCAGGTTTCTGCTTTAACTGGCCTTTATGAGAGCCAAATCTTCTGCTTAAGTTATTGTGTCTGATGATGAGAAGTTGTTTTCCATGGACTAGCTTCCAACCTTGTTTCCAGCCCTGTGTACACACTCCTGATGCTGAGTATTAACATAGTTTTTGCCCATGGGATCCTCCTTCACATGGAGGTTGAGTCAGCTTAGTGTGTGATAGTTGCGTATCTAGAAGCCATTCCTATACTAAGATGGAGAGCAATGACGTAACATAGATGGAAACTAACAGTGGCCCATATGCATGGATCTCTTTGAACCTAAATTAAATGTGCACCTAAGTCTGTCTTGGCTGCTTCCTTTGTTTCACCAATATAGTGGGACAGAGAGTTGGAGTGAAAAAAAGCTATTGATCTTAAAGGATTACAGTTAAATATAATCCCCCAAAGCTTGCAGAAACACCTGGCCATGATGGTGTAGGCAGCATCAAGGATGTCTCAGATATTTGCTTGAGTAATGGCTGTAGCATCAACCTCAAGGTAGGAAATGGGAGCTATACTTGAATGTGAACCCTGTTTCTATCATTCCCAATGATGTGACCTTGGACAGTTTTGTTTCCTCTCTTAGAGATTTCCTTATTTCACAAAAAGAAAAACTAGTAACTACTATGTGGTTGTTTATAGAGTAAATGGGACAATCTCCTCCTTCAGGAAGGAGCCTGGGCCATGTTTACAACCTCATACTGGCTATCATTGTTTCAAGATGTATTATTGATACTTATTATGAAGCTCAAGAGAATTAAATTAGCATTAGATCATATGTTCCGGTATGATTTTCCTCAGATTCAAGCAAATGGCTTTAGCTATTAAAAGTTATAATTCAGGCTGAAAATGTTTACTGACCACAAAACTGGGGAAAGGGTGAGTCAATGTGAATGATCTTTTAAATAATAATAGCAATAATAGCCAATATTTGTTAAGCACTTATGACTGTGGGTCCTTTACATACATCATCTCAATAATTCTTTTTTTGCAATTCTCTTTGGTGTAGGTACTGTTATTATCAACATTTCCATTTTACAGATGAGAAAAACTGAGGTTCAAGGGGATGATGTCTTTTTTTTTTTTGCAGGGAACTCAAGTATGACAGGAGTAGCAAGTTGACTATGATGACTCCATTTTGGTACCTCAGACGACCTTTGTCTTGCTGAGTAGAGTGCCAATAACTAACTGTAAAGGAGAATTTAAGAAAAACAATTCCGGGAAGAAAAACAACTCAAAGATATGGGCTCCTGGCAATGGTCAGCCTGACCTCACTATTTTTGCTAATCACATATTTTAGTTTTTGAAACTATGTGCTTGCAGGTGCAGGAAGGGAACCTTAAGGAGTTTCCAGCCAGGATGTAGTTCTCTTGCTTACATATGGACCCTAAGAAAGGCTCGGGCGCACTTGGGTCCAGAATACCCAGGCACAGTCATCAGTCGTCTGGAATAAAGACTTTAAATTGGCTCATAGATTGTGTTTGAGTGGTCTTCTCTAGTGAGAGCCTTGCAACACGAGCGTGAAAGCGATTAGCACGCAGCCTAAGGAAGTTCAGAAAGTTCTCACCTTACACAGTAAGACCATAGGGCCTAAAACCTGAAAACCTGTCTCCACTCTATCTACCCTTGCAATTTTGTCAGAGATCTGTTCCTTTTTTAAAAAAAAAAAATTATTTTATTTTTGAGATAGGGTATCTGTATATAGTCCTGGTTGTACTGGAGCTAATGTAGCTCAGGCTAGCCGCAAACTCACGGAGATCAGGCGTATGCCACCACACCACCATGCCTGGCTCTGTGCCCAGAATTCAAGTACAGATCCTGAGCAGGTGGGCTAGGTCGGATGCCCACTCCTCACGCCTCAGCTCCGCCTTCCAGCCACCCTGTACACCTGCTCCTGCAGTTTCAACCTCTCATCCATCACCACACGCCCCCCGCCCCTCCACGCCACACCCTCACGCCCCGCCCCCTGCACTCCTCCTCTCGCCCCGCCCTCCACACGACCCCTCCCACCGCTCATCACAACGTGCCTGACTCAGCGCCACATTCTCGCGCCCCGCCCACCCCTCACGCCCCGCCCCTCCCACCTCTGGTCGCCCCAAGCCTTACTCAGCCCCGCCCCCTCGCGCCTCCGGCCCTCTTAATCTCTTAGGCTCCGTCCTACGTCACTTTACGCCACGCCCACCCACGCCACGCTCCTCACGCCTTATCCCGCCCCTCCACGACCGGCGCCCCGCCCACCTCTCCTCAGCACCGCACACTACTCGGCCCCGCCCCTCACGCCCCGCCCCTCACGCCCCGCCCCTCACGCCCCGCCCCCCGTCCCGCCCCCTCACGTGCCAGTGCCCACTTGGAGCCTTCACCCGGCAGCCCGGAGCGGCGGGAGACCTGCGTCCGGGATCGCCCTCGGCGTGAGGCGCTCCACAGCTCCGACTCTACACTGAACGTAGGGCGGGGCCTGCGAAGCCAGGCAGGCGGGGGGCGGGAGGCGGGCTGGGTGAGTTGGGAGTGGGGGTGCAACTCAGAATCCTCTGGGCTCCTGGCGCCGAGCCCTGAGGCCCGCCTGAGGAGACGACCTGGTCCTGCTCTGGCCTGGGCTTCCTCTCAGCGTTCCCATCACCCCTGGCTGCGGCTCGACCCTCAGCCCCTCCACCCCGACCCCTCTCCTCAACCCCAGGCCCTCCTGTGGGGCCTCGCCCTCCCCTTGACCTCACACTCTCTCCTCAAGCCCTCACCATCCCCCTCCCCTCAGGCCCTGCCCTCCCCTCGGACCCTCACCCACCAGGCTTGCTTGCGAGGCTCCTTAGACACCTGCCCAGGTCCCGCCTCCTGGCCTTCCCTTCCCTCTCTTCCCTTCCCTGGATGGGTTTCCAGGAATCAGTCCCGTCCCCTGCTCCCGCTTCCTTGTGTCAGCCTTGGCCTTACCTTGCACGAAGTAATCTGTACAAAAACTAAGGGGTATTGGTGGGATGGGGAGCAGGAGCACCCGCGGGTGGGGTGGGGATCCATGCTCAGTAAAGCAGCTCTCCAGAATGTAAAATCCCAGCGTTTGGCTTTTTCTCTTATGTATTATTTTAATCTATTGCTGAAAAATTATTTTAATTGTCTCACTTGAGAGCATTATTTATTTATTTATTTATTTATTTATTTATTTATTTATTTATTTATTTATTTATTTATTTATAGGGTGGGTTCGAGACAAGATTTTCTTTGTGTAGCCCTGGCTGTCCTGGAACTTGCTCTATAGACCAGGCTGGCCTCGAACTCAGAGATCCACCTGTCTCTGCCTCCCGAGTGCTGGGATTAAAGGCATGTCACCACCACTGCCTGGCTGGGAGCATTTCTTTTTAAACTTAGGTTTGGAATTAATTCCAAGACACTGAAAGGAAATAGAGCCATTGCAGGGCGCAAGCCATAACCATATCGAAGTGTCTCCCTGGGGACTGTGGTTTGGTACATAGTGTAACCTTTAGTTTGATTCTTGTGGTGGAAATGGGCATTGATCAGAGTTGACCTACGTTTTTAATTCTGTGGCTGACTTTATGTTTGCCTTCATTTTGGCTCAGTGTTCCTTTTTACCAAAACTTTGGGTAGGAAAAAAGCTTCAGATGAGGTATGAAATCATTAATTTGTACTCCAAAAGTAAAAATATGACATCTCTTTTCATTTTTTATTTTGAAATAGAGCCTTATGGTCTCATCAGCAGTGCACACTGTAAAAATATCCATTTATTTCCTGTCTTTTTGTTAAGCAAAAATTATTTTAGCCTTACTCCAAAATATTAAAATTCAGTGGTGGTTTCTTTTCTGACTTCTGATTCTTTTTCTGTTCATTCTTTTCTTTTTTCATTTTATAGTCCTTTGGAATTCTGTTGTTTTAGCTTCAACATTAATATATTTATTAATTTATTAATAATTAATAAGCCAGGCATGAGGTACATATGTGTAATCCTAGCACTTGGAAGAAGAAGCAGGAAGTTCAGAAGATCCAAACCACCTTGTCTATAAGCAAGGCCCTATTTCAAATAATAATAATAATTAACAGTTAATAATATTTTGCCTCCTAAAGAAAAAAATTAGATTACACACCTGGCTGTAAATTAATGATACGACATCAAATTCTTAATTGTTAGGAATCAGATGACCTGTTTCTTGGTTTTGTCCACTTCTTTTTATTGTTTCCTGTTTCTTCTCCCCCCACCCAGAAACCTTCTTGTAACTATTTTGTTACTGTATTTTATGTAGAATAAAACAAAATTTGAGAACATTGATTAGAATACATTTAAACTGGGTGTGGTTCACAAGTTTCTAAACAGGGCTTTAGCCTTAGTTTAAATCATATTCTAAATGAGATTTTCTTTCTTTCTTTGTTTCTTTTTCTTTTTTTTTTTTGGTTTTTTGAGACATGATTTCTTTGTGTAGCCTTGGCTATCCTAGAACTCGCTCTGTAGACCAGGCTTGCCTCAAACTCACAGAGATCCACCTGCCTCTGCCTCCTGAGTGCTGGGATCAAAAGTGTGTGCCACCACTGCCCAGCTGAGATGCTCTTTTTTAATGAGACAATAACATTGGATTAGGAGATAATTTGAGTATTATTTTGTAGCATTAATGACAAGTTTTGCTCACAGTAAATGAATACTAAAAAAGTTTTCTTATCAAATTTAAGACATTTTTTTTGTTCTCTCCAGTTCCTTGAATATAATTGAGGAATACAGGCAACATGTTCTACACTCATGTGCTTATGAGCAAACGAGGACCACTGGCCAAAATATGGCTTGCAGCTCACTGGGAGAAGAAACTCACAAAGGCCCATGTGTTTGAGTGTAATCTAGAGATAACCATTCAAAAAATTATTTCACCTAAGGTATGTTACTGATTAAAATTATAATTTGTATTAGCCATGGCTGCTGTATAAGAATTAAAATACATTTCCAAGATAGTTTTTCTTCTCAAATGATCACTTTTAATTCTCCCCTAAATTATTGTCTATACAAAGGCACTCCAATATGGCATTTAAGTGAAGCATGACTTTGCTGAATAAACAAAAATAAAAGTCAGTCATTTTATATGGTGAGGTGAAAAGTGGTTTACTTTAATAAGAATACAACATTTGCTTTTCAAAGAGAAATTACAGTTTCCTTAATTTTCAAAGAACAGAATTTACAAACCTAATGTTTATTATTCTAATGTTTTAAAAAATTATTCAAAGGTGAAAATTGCACTCCGAACTTCAGGACACCTTCTTTTGGGAGTTGTTCGAATCTATAATAGGAAGGCAAAATATCTTTTGGCAGATTGCAGTGAAGCATTTCTTAAGATGAAGATGACATTTCGCCCAGGTATACATACATTGTTAATTTGTGTCACTGTTGATTACTTTCATCATTTTTGTGTTGGGTGGTCTCAATTAGCAGCATGCTGTATATAATGAATGTAAACTTCATTTTGACTGAATCTTAAGTTTCCATAAAGATAATTATATTCTTTCCCTTGTTCTTTTCCTGTGTTTATAGGAAATAGTTATACTGTTCAAAACTTTTATATTTTATGTATTAATATAAAAAATATACTTAAAATCATCCCGATTGTATAAGAAACCATTACACTTTTTTTTTTTTTGAGATGGTTTCTCTGTGTAGCTTTGCACCTTTCCTGAAATTCACTCTGTAGCCCAGGCTGGCCTCGAACTCACAGAGATCCGTCCGCCTTTGCCTCCTGAGTGCTGGGATTAAAGGCATGCATCACCACCGGCAGGTTCCCAATACACTTACTTTTAATGGGTTATGTAGTTTGCCATACCTGTTTTTGCCTTTATGAGAGTAAAATTAGAAACTGACAAAATGTAAATATTGATAATGTAGTTGTTTTTAGAATTCTTGAAACTCTTAAATTACATGGTAATTATGAAGTATTATCAAAATCCCTAGACATTCTGCAGTGCTATTTATTTATATGTGTTATAAATATAATTTCTAAAAATTTTAATTTACATAATATCTGTTCTACTTTTAGATATGCATCATTTTCTACCTTTGTCATACTTGTTTAGATAAAGGTCTTTCCTCTATCCCTAGTCTTCAAAGCTCCCTAAAGGAATCATCTTTATCATATACATTTTCCTGATCTCTTACAGTACCTGTGTTAGTGCCTTTCATATACCATCCCTCCATCAACATTTGTGGACTCCAACTGACAGCTCTTTTTTTATCTTTCTCATTTTAAATAGTTTTAGAATCTTCAGGTAGATTTATATACTTACTGGCTATGTTTTATTTGCTCATTTATTTATGTATCCCACAAATATTTATTGACTCATGCTTTGTGATTAATATGTTAGGCTTTAGAATACAAGGACAAGAAAGATAAATAGTACCTTTTCAGTCTAATGAGGAACTCAGATAAATGAAAATGTTTTAAAAACTTAGTATAATAATTACAGATTGTGGTCATGCTGGGATTAAAGGCATGTGCTACTGCACCTGTTAATGGTCATGTTATAAAGGAAACTAAACCAAGATGTACAACTGAAAATAACAGAGGAGTTCATTTTACAGGTTAGTTAGGGAAAACCTTTGTGAGGGGATAAAAGTTAAACTTACACTTGAAAAATGAGATGTACTTTGTACATAAGTAGTGACTGAGGGAATGGCAATATAAGCAAATGGAACTATAAGTACAATATCTTGAGTTGAAAAAATGCTTGCCTTTTTCAGGGAACACAAGGCTAGTATGTCTGTGGAGTACAGTGATGGAGGAGAATGTCCATAGATGATGTATGATAAGAGTGTAGGGCTACAGAAGCTCCAGTCAGAAATTTAAACTTATTGTAGTGAGGAAGGTCTTTAAGCATGAGAATTATCTGATCTGTTTGCTTTTGGAAACTGTTATTCTGTCTACTTCAAAAAAAAGTAGACTGTTGAGGGACAGAAGTGGATATAGGGAAGCACATGAGAGATGATAAAGATTTAATTGGAAGTTTAATGTTTCATAAAGGATTACTGCTTATTATGTTTCTTTTTCATTATTTTCAGGACTGGTTGACCTCCCAAAAGAGAATTTTGAAGCGGCTTACAATACTATCACATTACCGGAAGAATTTCATGATTTTGACATCTATAATATGAAGTAAATTATTTTGCTTTCTTTTTTTCATATTCAGATTTAATGACAACAACTTCAATTAGATAACAACTAAACAAATACAGTTGACAAAGGCTTAAATTATAGTGTGAAATTTGAAAGGCCAAAAACAAAAATGTCTCATATTTACTGAATGTTAGTATTGACAGTATATTCATCTAGTAAATACTTATTAAATAAATGCCTTTCCTATGCTAAGCACAGTTCTAGACATTGAAGAGATAGCAATGAAGAAAATAGTTCCTGGCCTAATGAATCTTATATTTTAGTTGGTATAGATTGATAATAAATAAATATGCAATATGTAGATAAATAAATCTTAAAACAAACAATAGGATTGTCAGGAAAGGATTTTCTGATAAAGTAAGAACACAAGCCTGAAGGAGCTAAGGGAGCAAACCTATAGTAACACAGAAGAGTGTTCCAGTGGAAACACCCAGTGAAGTAAAAAGTCTCTGAGGAAATAAGGCAGATGAAAATAACGTGGAAAGGCTATAAGACAGAGTACACTGGGCTTGTTCAGGAACAGCAAGAAAGCAAGTGAGATGGAGTGGAATGAAAGAAGGGCTTGGTAATAAATAAATGAGGTCAAAGAAGGAGCAGAAGATGAGGAGACAGGGTTTGTAGGCTACAGTAGAGCTTTTATTTTGCTGGGCGTGGAAGCACAGGGAAATTTTGAATAGAGAATAGAGGAGTGACGAGATCTCACTTGATCTCAGCATGTTCCCTCTGGCTACTTCACTATAATGGGGGGGGGAAAGGAAAAGAAAACTTGTCCATATGAAGTAATATGTAATTAGTTTTCAAACTTCACTTCATTAAGATGGTAGCAGTTAAATCAATGGATATCTGTGAAAGGCAGAGTAGTAATGATATGTTGATGAATTGGATGTGGCCCTAAAGAAAAGAATGACTATTTGATTTGGAGCATGTCTTAGTTCGTATTTCTATTGCTGTGAGTAGACACCAGAATCACAGCAACTCTTTTTTTTTTTTTTTTTGGTTTTTCGAGACAGGGTTTCTCTGTGTAGCTTTGCGCCTCTCCTGGAACTCACTTGGTAGTCCAGGCTGGCCTCGAACTCACAGAGATCCGCCTGGCTCTGCCTCCCGAGTGCTGGGATTAAAGGCGTGCGCCACCACCGCCCGGCCACAGCAACTCTTATAAAGGAAAGCATTTAATTGGGACTGACTTACAGTTTCAGAGGTTTAGTCCATTATGGCCATGGCAGGAAGCATGGCTACATGGTTTGAGCCTCTGAGACATCAAAGCCCACCCCTAGCAATACACTTCCTCCAACAAGGTCACAACTCCTAATAGTACCATTTCCTATGGGCCTATGGGAGGTTTATCCAAACCACCATAGGGCATAAAATGGAGTTACCACTTACTGAAACCAGGATAACTAAAGGATGATAGGTTGAAGAAAGAGAAAGAAGGAAGTAAATTAGGTTTTGGACAACATATAATTTGGGTCTGAACTCATGTATATATTTCTCTAAGTTCACATGTAAAAACTTAATCCCCATGGTGATAGTATAAATGATGGGAGCCTTTGAAGTGGTAAGGTTTTGAAAGGAGAGGGCCCTTTTTAATGAGGTCAGTGGCATTATAAAAGAGCCTGAGGAAGCTTTCTTGTACTTCCACTATCTGAGGATACAGTATCAAAGTGTTTTCTCTGGAGAATAGGCCTGTACTAGACACTAAATCTGTGGTGCCTTGATCTTGGCCTTCCCAAACTCTAGAATAATATGTAATAAATTTCTTTTTATAAATTACCCAGTCCTTGTCATAACATTAACAAAGGAAGAGAAGACCAAAGTCAAGATGCCATAAATTCAGAGGCGTTGCTTTCTGGTCTTACTACATCTTCACGTGGTATAAGGATCAAGATGGTAGTGTGGGGCCGTACAAGCTCTGTTCATGAAAACAGAACCCTCAGACTTGGTTACTTCCTTAAGGTCTCATCTCCTAATAGCATCACACAGGGATGTAGATTTCAGTATTTGGACTTGGAGGGAACACAAACATTCAAGCCATAGCAAGAGTGACCCTCTATTCAAATGCGCAAGTAAGGTAGCAACTAAGAACCACCACTGGATTTAATAATCTGAAAATTATTTGTATAGACGTGTCTAAAAGTTCATGTGCATAAAAATACTATTGATAAAGAAAAAATCCTTTTATTATAAACTAATTTTAAGTTTTTTTCCCAACATTTTGTAAAACCATAGTGTGCTATACATACATTTCCTAAATATGTTTCTCTATAGTGATATTGATGCTTCAGAGCCCATTGCTCAGAACCAAAGCAGACCAGAGGAAATCACACTTAGAGAAGAATATAGCAATGATCTACTTTTCCAAGATGGGAGCTTTGGTGAGAATATTTGAGAAACCAAAATTATAAGACGTCATCAGTGATATTTGCATTTTGTATGAAAACAGTGGTAATAGAGATATCTATAGAATGAATGTTTTCATGTATAAATGTAGTCTCCAAAATTTTTTCTTCTCTTTTTTCTGTTCTAGATGCTAATACCCTCTATTAGGGGGTATTTCTTTATCATTGTACAACCATGTTTTTAAATTTCTATTATATATCAGGTGCTGTCATAGACAAGAACAGTACTAATATTTAAAGATGTAAGTTCTGGGGCATGGTGACATATGCCTATAATCCCAGCTAGGGCTTTATAGTATGACCCTGTCTCCCTTCTTTCCTCCCCCCCCCCCCAAAAAAAGAAAAGTTTCTGCCCTCAAAGGAGAGATATCTAGATTAACAGCTGGTATAGTTAATATACATATATATATATATATACACACACATATATATACATATATATATGGTTTTATATGTATGCTGCATAAAATTCCTTCAAATGTATTTTGTCCAGTGTATGATGAGTATCACTTATAAAATAACAGATTTAAGTCACCTTGAGAATGAAGAGAAAGAAATGCTACCACAGTAAATAATATACAGCTTGATTATGAAACATGCAATGATTTTTGAAATGTTAAAATATTTTTAAAAAGTGTATGGTTTTTTTAGGTTTTTTGGTTTTTTGCTTCTTGTTGTTTGTTTTGGTTTTTTTGAGAGAGGATTTCTCTGTGTAGCCCTGGCTGTCCTAGAACTCGCTTTGTAAACCAGGCTAGCCTCGAACTCAAATCCACCTGCCTCTGCCTCCATTGCTGGGATTAAAGGCATGTGCTACCACACCCAGCTACTGATTGATTTTTTTTTAAAAATATCTGAACTGTCTCCCAAATCTTCTTTTTACTTTCTTAGCTGCAACGTCATACTAACTTCCTGAAAATCTTCCTCCATTTTCTTCTCGTATTTTACACATTTCTGCAAGACTAATTGTCTTTAAGTACTTTTTTGTCTACCTTTTATTCCTCTCCCTAAGCACCTTGGGTTCCTGTGACTGCATCAAACCTCTGATATTCCTCTCCTCAGTGCCCTCTACCAATTCATCATTCTTTATCAATTTATCAGCCTCAACATAGGCATTTTCCTCTACTGAAGAGTATGTCTTACTATCTAACCAGTTCTACTTAGTTGTTCACAGTTCTGTTATCTTACATAATTCAGAAAAGTGGAGAAACATATCAGTCTGCAGTTCTAGGTTTGAATCTGGACTGTTTTCTATCAATTGGTTTGTGTACTCAGCAGATGACCTAACTGAGCCTCATGGCCCTGTCTGTAAAGTTGAGATCCTACTAGCAACATCACAGATTATTTTCTTTATTCTTGCCTTTTGTCCTCTCCACCAATATGTGATTTTCCACAAAAATCTTAAGAAATGTTTTATATTAATCTATCCTATTATTGATTATAATGTAAAATTGAAGGTTATGATTATTTCTTCTCTGTAATCTCAGGTTAGATAGATAGATTGATAGGTAAGTAGACAGACAGACAGAAAGACAGACACAAATGACAGTCTCACTACCTAACCCAGTCTTCTGTGGAACTCTAAATTGGCTTGCTGCAGCCTTCTGAGTGCTGGAATTATAAGTATGCAGAAAACATACAGTCTCACTACCTAACCCAGTCTTCTGTGGAACTCAAATTGGCTTGCTGCAGCCTTCTGAGTGCTAGAATTATAAGTATGCAGAAAAATAGCCAATTTACTCTCAGACTTTTGAAATGCCCAACACTCAGAATTTAGTGTCTGTTCTTGAGTATTATTCTTTGATTGAGGAAGGTTGATTTTCCTTTTTGGAAAAAGCTGCCCCTGAATAATATAAACACATTCTTGGTTCTTTCTCAAAAAATGATTAAGTCAGCCGGGCGGTGGTGGTGCACGCCTTTAATCCCAGCACTCAGGAGGCAGAGGCAGGAGGATCTCTGTGAGTTCGAGGCCAGCCTGGTCTACAAAGTGAGTTCCAGGAAAGGCGCAAAACTACAGAGAAACCCTGTCTCGAAAAACCAAAAAAAAAAATGATTAAGTCCATTTAGTAAATCTGTTTTTTAAGAGTTTAAATTTCATTTATTTTTATTTTATGAACATTAGTGTTTTACCTGCATGTATGTTTGTGTGAGGGGGTTGGGTCCTTTGGAACTGGAGTTATAGACAGTTGTGAGCTGCCATGTGGGTGCTGGGAATTGAACCCAGGTCCTTTGGAAGAGCAGTTAGTGCTCTTAACCTCAGAGCCATCTCTCCAGCCCCCATTAAGCAAATCTTTAATCCATTGTGATGTAGGTCTATATATGAATGTACAATATGGGTGATACTTCATGATTTTCTTTGCTGTATGAAAATTAACATGGATTATTGGGAGAGAAAACCATCCTCTGTCTACAGGGTTCAGAATCCTGGACATAGTGACTTTAAAATCTAAAGGTTGGAAAGAACATGCCAGAGCTGACTTTGGATCCCCTGTAGCTATTAGTATAACCTAATGACGAATTAGATCTGGCTCCAAGCCTTTCAGTGATAAGTTTTATTATTTGTTCAATGAGTATTATGCCTTCTATTACATACTACAATTAACTAAGTGCTCAGTTAATGTTAACTGACTGGCTATGCTCTTTTTAGTGTTCTATCTCCAACTCCTAGTACATTCTACAAATATTTACTGAATTATTATTATAAGCCCATTCTTTAATATTTTAACAAACATTTGGGGGGGATTTCTCTGTGTAGCTCTGGCTGTCCTGGAACTTGCTCTGTAGACCAAGCTGGCCTTGAACTCCCAGAGATCTGCCTGCCTCTGCTTCTGCCTCCTGAGTGCTGGGATTAAAGGTGTGTGCCACCACTGCCAGGCCTTTTGTTGTTGTTTCAGAGACAGCGTTTCTCTATGTAGAAGAATTTTCCAAATTCTTCTTAGGTATAAACTGTTCAAGCAGTTGTCTATATAAAATGACATGAAATAATACTTGGTCAAACAGAATGTGTCCTACATAATGTATAGGGAATCAGTCTACTCCCATGGCATTTTGACTTTCTAGGACATGACTAAACTATATTATAAGTACAAACTCTACTGAATGCTCTGGCATTTTTTCCTATTGTATTGGGAGAGTATTAAACTTGAAATCTATGTTGATTAACTGGGTGTCTTCAGTTGGATAATTCAATAATTTTAAAGCTTTTATTTTCCTCATAGAACAAGGATGAATTATACTAGATGATATATTAGTTTCCTCTAACTCTAAAAGTGTATGTTTCTATGATTAGTTTGTCACTAATGGTATACATTTATATAGGGGATGAACCTGAACTCCTCAGAAGACATAGCCTCTTTGATGACAACATATTAATGAACTCCAGTGGTCTTGTAGTTGAACATAGTTCTGGAAGCCTCATTGAGGAAAAATCATTGTTCTTTGACAATGGAGATGGATTTGGCGATGAAGGAGCTGCAGGAGAAATGATTGGTATGCTTTCTGGCCATAAAATATCAAATATTTATTTTAATCAAATCATTGTAATATATGTTTTGTTACATTAAATTGAATTTTCAGATATATATCTGTGCTTGTAGGCCAAATTATTTTTCACATACGTTTTCAAAGTCTATATATTTAGTCTAGGCCTAAGTTAATAGTCATCTGCTTAAAGATATTTCTATAGAAGCTATTAACTCCTGTCTGTTTTTATTTGTATCCTTCAACTTTGGAAAGAAGTGAGGTTACTATACTCTTCACAAAATGTACTAGATTATATGCTGGTAACATTGTCTTCTTTAATACAAATTGTGGAATAGATATTCTTCAGGGTCAGTGTAGCATTTTATATTAAAATTACAATATTAGTATAAAATATACATTTTGGAGAGACTGGAAAAACAAAAGTATGTATTTTAAAGATTATTAGAAATACATTTACAGATTTTTTTTTTCAGTTTGCATTAAAAGTCCAGTTATCACCCAGGCATGGCAGCTCATACCTGTAATCTTAGCATTTGGGAAGCTGAGGCAGAAGAATCATGAGTTTAAGGCCAGCCTGAACTATATAAGGAGTTCTAGGCCAGTTCACTACATAATGAAACCCTATCTCGAAAGAGAAAAGGGAATAGGGAGCAAAGAAAAGAGGGATGGGAAAGAAAGAAGTGTGGTTACGCTTTGTGTAAATCAGGGCTTCTTAAAACTTTTTCCATCCACAACCCTCTTTTGCCCAAGAAATTCTTATGTGGTCCTGGGTATACAGGTATATAAAATATGCATGTAAGGGATTGGAGAGATGGCTTAGCAGTTAAGAGCACTGATTGCTCTTCCAGAGGAGCTGGGTTACTAGCACTCACATTAAGGCTCACAACTATCTGTAACTCCAGACCCAGGGAATCCAAGGTCTTCTGTGGGCAATGCATATGTGTGGCACACAGATGTACATATAAGCAAACACCCAATACACATAAAATAAAAAAACACATTGTAAAATTTAAAAAAAAGTAATAGTAAGCCAAATAAATTTATTCTAAAAATAATTGTTTTGTATACTATATAATTTTACCATTTATTAAAATAAATATTTATGAAATTGAGATATATGCTTACTTACTTTTACATTAGAAAAACTAAATCTCTGCTAAAGCTTTGATAATCCAGGATATAGAGCATTTTCAGTGTTTTTCAAAGTTGATCAATATTTCGATTTTAGAATTTGTAATGCTGAGAACACTGATTTGAATAAATAGTCGTACAAGATGATAGAAGTATGTTTAGTTATAATCTAAAGATGTGCTAATTTGGGAGGAATAATGGTAGGAAAATATTAAATGTCTTTATTTCCTATAACTAAGTCATGTTTCTATTAGAACAGAAAATGTACATATAGTAAAAGCAATGCAATTCATAACATATATTAATCTTTAATCTGTGCCAAGATACTTCAGGCAGTGTGTTTGGCATTGTAAGGCACATGATAGCACGCACAGTGCAAAGTGCACATTGTGTGTTCAGAACCAAGGCTGCAGTGAAGTGGTGGAGTGAACTATGGGTGAACACTGCCAGAAATAATTTTGATTTTTAATTGGTTTTCCTTGTTGCTAAAATTTTCACAACACCCCAACCCCTCCTAATTGAGTTATGTGACCCCCATATGGAGTGAAAACAAATAATTTAAGAAGGAGGAATATAATGTCTTGTGTAAACTAATGCTAGTAAATGTTTAGTGAATAAAAAGTATTTATTTATGTTTTTAAAGACAATCTATTGCAAGATGAGAATACCCTTTTAGAAGACATATATTCGAACAAAGAAACGTCTCTGCCTCCTGAGCTTCCCAGTAGTATAATGGGTATGTTGAAGTCTTTTGCATATAAAATGTATACATTCTGATGTTTGGAACTTCTAAGTTTCAGCAGCACTGTAATGAAGAACATTGTCCTTCAAATTCTCTTAACCTGACACTAGACAGTGTAGAGTGTAGAACAGGAAGTTAGATTCTGAAAAAGTAGCTAACCAGGATTGGCTTTAGTAATTCATATTTATTCTTCTCAAGCAGTATGCTTTCAAATCCAAAAAAAATAATATGTTCTATCAGAAGAAAAATTATCACATTATGTGGCTTGACCATTGGTATACAGTTGAGAGAAGTTACAATTTTTCAAGTGAGCATATTTTTCTCTACTTCAAATTCTTACCAAACTACCTCAGATGAGTTGATGCCTTTAAGATTTTTTTTCCCTAAGTATTAAAAGTATAATTGGGCTGGAGAGATGGCTCAGAGGTTAAGAGCACTGACTGCTCTTACAGAGGTCCTGAGTTCAATTCCCAGCAACCACATGGTGGCTCACAGCCACCTAATGAGATCTGGCTCCCTCTTCTGGTCATACATGCTGTATACATAATAAATAAATAAATCTTTAAAAAAAAAAAATAAAAAAAATAAAAAAAATAAAAGTATAATTATCCTCTTTTTTGTTTTTTCACAATGTTTGATGTTACATTTGCTTTCTGGCACAATAATCAAAGTTAAAAATATAAAAATTATTGGGCAATCAAAACTTAGCTATTGTTCTTTATGAGTCAATTGATGGCTCAATAGAACATGGATGCTTTAGTTGTCATAGCAAATTTCTATCGGTCAGTTTTTTGTTTTGTTTTACTTCTGTGTGACTGTAACCTGAGATATCTCATATGTAAATGAGGGTGATGCCACTTGACTCACTCAAATGTTGTGGGTCCCAGACCATTTATTACTGAACTTCTTTGCCTCTGTAAAATTCATGACTCTAAGAATTTATGTATCATCCCAGCTAGTAGTATTTCCTCAATTATTTTTTACTTTATTTCTCATATTGTCTTCTAATGTGTAGCATAGTCATGTGCTTCTGTTTTTACTTTTATTAGTAGAACCAGGTAATTCAGATGACCAATACCTACCTGAAGACGAAAAAGTAGATGAAACAACATTGTTATCAAATGAAGAAGAAGGGTTTACTCTTGACCCAATTGATGGTTTAGGTAAGAGGTTTCGTGTTTTTATTTTTCCCTTTGGTACCCTGCTATCTTAATTGCTTTGAGATATGCAAACAATCCATAGAATGTTATAGAAGGCTGCCAGCATGATAATAGCATTGGGCATTAAATAGGAGAAGAGTATGAAAGAAATCAGAGATAAGTTTTTCATCACATCTAGTCCTATTCAAATCATATGTCCAGTTTGGAAAACTGGAATTTTTTTTCTTTATTAAGAAATTTTTTTATTCATTTTATATACCAACCACAGATCCCCCTCTCATCCCTCCTTCTGCTCCCTCCCAGCTTCCCCCCTCCTCAACCTACCTCCCCTCCCCTCCTCCAAAAAGGTAAGGCCTCCTGTGGGGAGTCAGCAAAGCCTGGTATATTCAGCTGAGGCAGGTCCAAGCCCCTCCCCCCTGTATCAAGGCTGTGCAAGGTGTCCTGTCATGGGTAATGGGCTCCATAAAGCCAGCTCATGCACCAGGTATAGATCCTGATCCCACTGCCAGGGGGCCCCTTAAACACCAACAAGCTACACAACCGTCTCACTTATGCAGAGGGCCTAGTCCAGTCCCATGCAGGCTCCACAACTCTTAGTCTAAAGTTCATGAGTTCCCACTAACTTGGTTCAGTTGTCTCTGTAGAGGGAAACTGGAAATTTAAAAACTGAGTTCAATTCAAAACATTTTCAGCTTTACTAAAGAAAAGCTTGACTTCTACTTTCTGTGTGGTATGGAATTAGCTACCTACTTTGAATTCATACATGAATTTCAGTGTGGGGAGGTGAAGTACACTGGAGAGATACACATTAATGTTTTGAAACATTATCCTGTTACACATTAAAAAAACAGAAAAGAAAAGCTCCAGATTCTTTAACTGCCCATTCCCTCTTTGCCATGTTTCTTTAGTTGCCCACTTAATTAACAAGTGAACAGAATCCCTCCTAAGCCCCTTCAAACAATACCTTGAAAAATATATCAGCTTTTGACTGCTCAGATACTCTAACTTTGCAAAAACCTTGCAAAGCTTATTTTCAGAAAACAGAAGGAGTTCTTCCCAGTGCAACTTTGCGGGTTATTTGTGATATACTTTCCTTAGATATGTAGTAGCCTAGAATATCATTTTACAAAACGTTCTAAGTCCATTTATACCTGTTTCTCTCTAGATATTGCTGAGAGAAGGAAAAGCAAAAAGAGGAGGTTGCTTATAGATCCAGTCAAGGAGATAAGTAGCAAGACTATGCATAAGCAGCTTACTTCCTTTGTGGACACTCTCATGGTTCTGGACCTTGCACCTCCCACACAAAGATTGATGATGTGGAAGAAGAGGGGAGGAGTGGATACACTTCTGTCAACTGCTACCCAGGATCTGATTCATGATGAACTGAAAATGGTAATTGTTTCCATCCTTTTGCATGAATATGATGCTTGTTTCTAAATTAATATGTTCATATTTATAATATAATTAGACATGTGGGAAGAAGAAACTATTATTTTAAAACTTAATTTGTTTAATAATTGTGTGTAAATGGCTTTTTTCCCCCAAGACAGGATCTCACTATATAGCTCTCACTATCCTGGAACTTACTACATAGATCAGGCTGGCCTTGAATTTACAAAGATACATCTGCCTCTGCTTCCAAGGCGTGCACCACTATGCCCAGCTTGAAAAGTTGTGTATGAATGGCCTTTACTTTCTAGCATATGTACTTGTGCTTTATTGATTTGCTTTACTAATACAAAGTCAAGAATATAAATGTGTTTTTACAGTTGTTTGCAAAATGCTTCCTGTCTTCTGACTTTAAACTTGCAAAATTGATACAGAAGGAGTCAGTAAGGAAAGAAGTGGGAACTAAACACATTCTAGGTAAGATTTCCTAATTCTGTTAATGTCAAGGGGAATGTTGTGTTAACAAAAATTTAACTTTATGTTTCAGAATGAAAACTAGGCTCAAATACATATTTTCAAATATAACCACTATTTGTAGAAGAGTATTTTAAACTTAAAATATTACCTTAGTATGGCACTTTTCCGCTTTTCATATTAATTTCTGCCCCAAGACTTCACTGAAAAGATGAAATATAGGCCATTACTAATGTCACAGGCCTGTAATCCCACCTACTCGGGCAGAAGGATTGCAAATTCAAGGCCTGCCTGGGTTATAGAGCAAGTTCAGGGCCAGCCTGGCCAATTTAGTGAGACCCAAACTAAAACACACTAAAAGGGGCTGGTGGTGTAGTTCAATGGTAGAGTACTTGTCTAGAATGTGTGAGGGCCTAGGTTTAATCCCCAGTATTCTCTCTACACACATACAAAAGATTTTATTTATTTATATTTATATTTATACACACACACACACACACACACACACACACACACACTGTGTGGATAATTTTTCTCTCTCTAACCTCCTCCACCCTGAAGGCAGTATTCATCAACTCTTAGAAAAGAAAGTCTTTGTGTCTAGCAGAATAATGTTTCATTTAAAACAACCTAAAACTCAGATAGTGATAAGAACAGTACGTAAATATTACAACTACTCGGAGACAAACATCACCATCTGCCTAGAATAAAGTTCACAGAATGTTAATAATCACTCATTATTGCTGTGACAATTATAAAGTAATGAAACCAACTTATGTGATGAATAAAGTTCCTTTTCCCAGTGACCATTTCTGAAGTCATTGGTATTTACAGAATAGTACACCACAATGAGCCTAAACTGTGCCTGCTGTCCTGTGAGTGAATGTGTGAAAGTGAGTGAGTGAGTAAGGATGACTGGAGGATGATGGGGAGTGGAAATGATAAAGAAACAGAGGAGGGGAAAGAGAAGATATAAATTCTGTGAGATGCAAGGGAGTATGAAAAAGTTGTGCACTCCTTATTTAAATTCTTGGATTCTAAGTTACTGGCCAGAAGTTTTCTTTTTGAATAGCCATATGCTAATTCAAGTTTAAAATGCACTTTTGTAACATTTTCTTTACTTCCTTGTAATTAAGAGCTCTCAGTGATAGAAGAGCCCAATTCCCACAGAGAGTTAGATCAGCCCCAGTCTTGGAAGGATGTGATTGTTGAATCTGTGGGTAGCTTTCAGGAAGACATCAATATGAATATTAACTCTGAGGTAAGTTAGCCAGAGAGAATCATTGAAATATTTTTTATGCAACTCTAGTGAAGTAATATTGAGAGGCTGATACATACTCTTACATATATTGTTCATATTTCATCTTATGTTGTTCAGCAATTTCTCAAAGTGTCATTACTGTTATAAGATAAAAATATAATTTTAATCTGCAAGACAGTATTCCTTTAAAGTTTAGGATAGTGAATCACTAGATAAGGTAGTTTCATACTGAAATAATATTTTAGGTAGCTTAGTAAATGAGTGATTGTGCTTGAATCTGGTTGTATATTGAAAACCTTACTAAGCTCTACATTGAATGAGTTATGGAGTCTCCTTGAACTCTAACCAGATGTTTTTATATTGTTTCTCGTCATAAATTCACCCATACTTTTCCTCTAGAACAACATTTTAAACTTCCCAACTATCTTTACCTTTAATTTGAAAGACTACCTGAAAGTCTATGACCAAAACAAAATAATTTTGTCACTCTGAAGGAACAGGAAAACAAAAATTTTCTTTGAGGACAGTTTTTATTTGAAAAGCTTAACTATTTGAAAACAGAAATTTTAAAAAAATATTTTTAAATATTTTTACACTAAAATATATAAATAAATATAATATAAATTTTTATATTAATTAAAAATATAGCCAGGCGGTGGTGGCACACGCCTTTAATCCCAGCACTCGGGAGGCAGAGCCAGGCGGATCTTTGGAGTTCGAGGCCAGCCTGGTCTACAGAGCGAGATCCAGGAAAGGCGCAAAGCTACACAGAGAAACCCTGTCTCAAACAAACAAACAAACAAACAAACAAAATATACATATATATAAAGTATTTTCTCTGTTGGGCGTGGAGGTACATGCCTTTAATCCCAGCACTCAGGAGGCAGAAGCAAGCGGATGTCTGAGTTTGAGGCTAGCCTGGTCTACAGAGTTCCAGGACAGCCAGGGCTTCCTAGAGAAACCCTGTTTTGAAAAATAAAATAAAACACTTTGTCACTTAAATATTAGGGTCTTACTTATAAAAATAAGCCAATGCTTTTCAGGTCTGTTCCCTCATCATTGTAATTTTTTTTCCTGTGAAAAAAGGAAGGCTTTTATTGGGGGTAAGGAAACACACTCACAGGAGGCACAGTGAGAAAGACTCCCTGCAGAGCAGAGACGGGGGAAACTTGGGAAGCAGAGCCCTCATCATAGTATTTTGATAACCACTCAGAGAATTCAGCTAACCCACATTGAAACTGGATGCCCTGGGAGGAAAGACAGTTTCAGAATACATTAAAACAGAACATGTTCTACTAAATACTTGACAATATACTGTATACTGATATGGTGAGTTGCCATGCTATCTGCTGTTTGGGGGCTTGGACATTTGCTAGGATGCACCTACTGAATTTCCTAATTCTTATTAGGAAAATGTGTTTAATTTATGATTTTGGGAAGGAAAATATAAGTGCAGTTGTAAACTGCTTATTTGCAAGAATTAGATTTTTCTTCTTGTGCTGTACCAGTTCTTTTGACTCTTACTCCTTTATACTATGCTCTGCTCTAATCTTTATTTCTGTTCTTACTTTGTTTTCTAAATGGTGAAGAAATAGGAAATATAGTAAAGTATGGGAGCATCCACAATGAGTTTAAAGGGACAGAAAAATGTTGATTCTGATCAATCATTTTAAAATCTCATAAAACAGAATTTTTGTGTATAGTAATTATAAATTTGACATTATTTAAAATATAGAATATTCATAGATACTAGAAAAAGACAAATATATGCTAAAGAGTAAAGAGCAATGCCTTCTAGTCACTAAAATATTTAAAGCTGAAGTGAAAAAAGTATAATAGAAAATCATCCTGTCTTACTCAAGATCAGAGATGGCAGCTGGGGAACAGGGCTTCGTGACAGGTTAAGGATGGAAAGGGACCAGCGCCTTATAGCAGTGAGAAGAGGAGGAGACGAGGGAGAGTAGAACATTTCTGGCCTTTTCTCTTTTTCCTTCTTCCCTTGTTTTCGCTCTCCTTCTAGAAGATACAGATCATTTTTTGTTGTTGTTGTTTCAGTGACCACTCATGTGTTAGAGTCCTATCACAGTCCTGGGTAGGGATATGAGTGCTCTAGCCCTCACTCTCACCTCCTCTGCTTGCCCATGCAGGTTTCTTTCCTGCCTCAGAAAGCTGGTGCTGGCCTGAGTAACCGCTAAACAAGATACTTCAAAGGAAAGCAATCTCAGCAGCGCAGCAGTAGAGGCTCCAATGTGGAGCCTGCATGAAGAGGAGAAAGGGAGAAGTAGTGTGCAGGGTCCTTCATTTGTGGTGGTTTGAATAAAAATGGCCCCCATAGGTCCATAAGGAGTGGCACTATTAGGAGGTGTGGTCTTGTTGGAGGAAGTGTGTCACACTCTCTTCTTGCTGCCTGTGGATCAAGATGTAAAACGTTCAGCTCCTTCTCCAGCACCATGTCTGCCATTCTACCTGCCATGATGATAATGGACTAAATCTCTGAACTGTAAGCCAGCCCCAGTTAAATATTTTTCTTTATAAGAGTTGCTGTTGTCATGGTTCACAGCAATAGAAACCCTAAGACAGAAAGAAGTTCGGTGTTGTGATAGGCCTGACCATGCTTTTGTTTGGAGGAATGTGAACTTTGGGACCAGATTAGAAAAGCAGTTGAATTCTTAATTGAGGCTTAATGGGCCATCCTAGTAGAAGAATGGAAGAGAGTGGTGCTGAGGGTGATTTGAATTGTGAGGGCCTGACTCAAGAGATGTCAGAGGAGAAGAATTTTAGTATGTGGCCTAGAGACTGTTCTTGTGATATTTTGGTGAAGAATTTGCCTGCTTTCTGCTCTTGTCCAAAAAAAATCTGCCTGGCGATAAATTGAAGAGTTTTGAATTAATTGCATTGGCAGAGGAAATCTCAAAACAACCTAATATGGACTCTGTTATGTGGTTATTAGTGTTCACTCTTATGCAGATTTATAATGAAAAAGAGAAAGCTGATCAAGGAAAATACAAAATGTATGATTTAAGGAGAAAAAGAGCACTAGGAAGTGTAAACAGATTAAAGAAAAGCCTGATGCTAAGTGGAATAAAGGGAGTGGTGACCTCAGAGCAAGACCCCACCTAGCTTAGCTTCCAACTTGTGGAAAGGAATTGAAGAAAGTGAAAAGCAGTTAAAGGAAAGCTTATGGCCAGGCATAGTGGTGCACACCTTTAATCCCAACACTCCAGAGGCAGAGGCAGACGAATCTCTGCGTTTTCTTACAGAGAAAGTTTCAAGACAGCCACACTTAGATAATGAAGGAAACCATCGAAAACAGAGCGCTAGTGAAGATGTAATTGAATGAGAAGGCCATATTCCAATCCCAGCAAGCAGTAGAATTTGGCAGCTTTGGCCTCATGGTTCTGGCTTTAGAGTCAAAGATACCAGAAAGGGATTAGGGAATCTCCCTCCTTGTCTAAGGAAAGTTGCCTAGCCGAGCATATCTCCAGAGTGTCCCTACATGGAGGCCTAGAGAGGCTATTATGTGAAGCTACGAAGTTGAAGCTTGGATTACCTTGGAGACCCTAAATGTTGGAGATGACAGAGTTGTAGGATACCTGCCAAGTAAAGCTGTCAACAGGGAATGGAACGAGGCCAAGAGGAAAAAGTGTGTTGCAGTCAACAAAAGGTGAAAGGAGTTGGAGATCTGAAGAACATTTTGACATCAGACACGAAGATGCAGAGTTTGCCCAGCTGGCTTTTGGGGGGTTTTTTTGGTCCAGTCTTTCCTCACTGTGCTCCCTTTTGGAATTGTAAGGTACATCCTGTGCCATTATATGTTAGAAGTATGTGATCTGCTTTTTCATTTTGATTTTATGGGGAATTACTGTTAAGAGATTGCAGGAGTCTCAGAAGAGACTTTGGACTTTATTTTTAAGCAAGTTTAAGACTCTTATAGACTATGAGGACTTTTGAAGTTGGACTAAATGCATTTTTCATTATGATATGGCTTCAAGCCTGTGAGGGCCAGAAAGTGGAATGTGGTGGTTTGAATAAAAATGGCCCCCATAGGTCCATAGGAAGTGGCACTGTTAGGAGGCCTTATTGCAGGAAGTGTGTCACACTCTCTTCCTGCTGCCTGCAGATCAAGTTGTAGAACTCTCAGCTCCTTCTCCAGCACCATGTCAGCTTGCATGCCACCATGCTTCCTGTCATGATGGTAATGGACTCAACTCTGAACTGTAAGCCAGCCCCAGTTAAATGTTTTCCTTTATAAGCTGTGGTCATGGTGTCTCTTCACAGCAATAGAAACCCTAAGTAAGACAATATGTTAAACTAATTTGAGAAATTATCATTTATGTTAATAAATTGTTTTTAAAAATTGAGCTGTTCATATTATAACCACTAGCAGAATTACCTGTAATTTCTGAATTTTCTTTAGCAGGATATATTTGAAACGACTTCTCCACCTGCCGAGGGATTATCTTCAACAAATGCTTCCTCAGCCCAAAAAAATTGTCCAGTTGAATTGGTAAATATATTTGTAGTCTTTGGGTAATTTTTTCATACTTAATTAGTTATTTTTAGATTTAATATAATTTTGGCAATTTCATATATATACAGAATGTACATGGTAATCATATTAACTCTATATTCTAGCATATCCCCCACCAACTCTAGGAAACCTTAGTGAAACTCAGTATATTAAAAAAAGGACATGGAAGTAGAAGGAATGACTAATAGGGAAGAAAGGAATATTCTGAAAAGTTGTCTTCCTAAATGTTAATGTTTTATTTACTTAAAATTTGGTTTGCAAAACTGCTGTGTTTATTTGTAAGTTTATAATTTAAATTTATGTTCTCAAGAAATATGTTTAGCTTGGCTTGGTGGCAGGAGAATGAGTATGAAGCAAGCATAAACTACATAGCCCAGGCTAGTGTGTTTGAAACAACAGCTGAGATATTTGTAAATCATTTGATGAGCTATGAAGAATTCCCATGACTTTTTCTCATACTTAAATTATTTTTGAGACTTTAGATAAAAGCAAGTATACAATTTTATGCTTAGCAAAGGTAGGGTCATGTTTTAAAATGTTGAGAATCATCACTGTTTTAAATCATTCTTATCTTTGGAGATTATACTATATTCAGATATAACCTAGGGCATTTGAAGTTTTATTTTTTAAGAAATAGTGTGAGCATCTTTTCCTCAATATTGGCACAAAACCTGTGTCTGTAGGAAAGTTTCAAAATCAGAAAATGAAAATGCTTAAAATCAGAAAATGGTGTGCTTAAAGAGTCACATTTTGATAGCAAATCCAGAAATTAGACTCACTGACACCATATGCATTACTACCTGGTTTTTTTCTTTTCTTTTTTTTTTCCAAGTTTTTTTTTTTTTTTTCAATGTACTCCTGGCTGTCCTGGAACTAGCTCTGTACATCAGGCTGGCCTTGAACTCAGAGATCTGTCTCCCAAGTACTGGGATTAAAGGTGTTACGCCAACACTGCCTGTAGCTGGAGTTTTCTCCAATCCTGCCCAGCCCCACGGACCCCACAACTGCTTATAAAATAATCACTCAGAAGCTCATTTTAATTAAACTGCTCAGCCACTAGCTTAGGCCTACCATTGTCTAGCTCTTACACTTATACTCAGCCCATTTCTGTTAATCTGTATGTCACCACGTGTTCCATGGCTTTACCTGATGCCTTTACATGCTACTCCTTGGATGGCAGACTGGCGTCTCCCCCTCCCAGCCTTCCACTTCCCAGACTTCTCCTCTCTCTTTGTCCCACCTATACTTCCTGCCTGGCTACTGGCCAATCAGCATTTTATTTATCAATCAATCATCCACAGCAACTGCCTGGCTTCATTTTTTTTTTTAAAGATACATGCATGCATACACATAAAATAAAAATAAATCTTTTTAAGATTTAAAAATTTTTATGAGTGCTTTGTCTTTATGAAAGTTCACCATATATGTTCCTGGCCCCTAGGAAGCCAAAAGAAGGTATTTGGTCCCCTGGATCTTGTGAGCCACCATGTGGGTGCTGGGAACAAAACCTAGGTTTTCTGCAAGAGCAGCCAGTGCCATTTCTCCAACCCCTAAGTTACTTATTTGAACCTTCCCGCAGTACTGAGGGCATTTTTTACCTTAAATTTTATCAAAAGTTGTTTAGAGCCGGGCGGTGGTGGCGCACGCCTTTAATCCCAGCACTCAGGAGGCAGAGCCAGGTGGATCTTTGTGAGTTCGAGGCCAGCCTGGGCTACAGAGCGAGATCCAGGACAGGCGCAAAACTACACAGAGAAACCCTGTCTCGAAAAACAAAAAAAAAAAAGTTGTTTAGTAAATACTATCAAATCACCTATTAAGTCCTGATGTTAAATTTTTAGATTTATTATTTTTATGTGCATGTGTGTATGCCTACATGAATTTATGTGCACACAGGTGACTGAAGAGGCCAGAAGAGGCCATTGAATTCCCAGAAACTGGGGTTATAGATAGTTGTCAGTTACCTGATGTGGTTCTGGGAACCTAACCCAGGTCCTCTTCAGGGGCAGTAAGCACTTTCAACTACTGTGCCATCTCTATAGCCTCTTAACTTGTTCCATTGTTTGTTTGCTGTTGCACACTATGGTCAGAGCTAGCCTAGGAAAACTGATAAAGTAGGTCAGAACTGCAGCTTCTCACCCACAGCCCTTTGCAGCCTGTTCTGTTTTCCTTGTTGTTATTGTTACTGTTGTTTTTATCAGACAGATCAATACCTTTCCTGAGACCCCATTCTCAACTCATATGGTGTTAGTTTGTAAGAGATTAGACTAAATATCAAGCCGTCTCTGGAAGTGATTAAAAGACAAAAGAGTAAACCAATCTGATGACATGACAGGCAGTGAGTTAGCGTTATGTAGACAAAATGCCTCAAAATCTGAAAGGTCTCTTAAACCATTTTTAAGGGTGTTTATGTCACCAGCTAAGTTCATACAAAGACCTTGAAACAACAGATTTTCTACAGTTTTTCTGTTTACTCCTGTCACTAGAGTTCAGATTGGCCAGACTGAAAATCCTAGCCCAAAGCAGCTGAGTTTGCTAACTACTTTTCAAAGTACATAAGGGCACAAGCTCTGGGCTGCATCACAATAAAGACTATAGTTTCCTGCTTTGCATCTCTTTATCAGAAGGCATGCCTGGAGGCAAGGTACAACCACAAACAGGTTTTTGTTGTGTGACAAAACTTTTGCTGGGGATACACAGTGCACACATCTACTCACCCTGGACAGGGAACCTACAATAGACCAAACTACAGATACCACCAAAGTCCAGCTTGGTGAACCAGTGAGTTTTATTGGGGTTATTTACAGGAGTGTGCATGCCAGGTTACTTAGCTTTCCTGTTTTAATCTTGAGGAAGCTGTTATACAGTAGTTGTCTCATGTTTGTGTCATTCTTCTCTTCACCAAATCAGACATTTTTGGGGCAGGATTGTGTTACAGTTGTATTTCTGTAGTAGCTAATGCAGTGCTTGGTGAATAGTAAACATTCAATAAAATTTGCTTAAATTAAATATTTATCAGTCATTCAAACAGGAGTCATCAGGCAGCAAACAAAATACTGAGGCAGAGAAATGGAATCAAAGATTATTTCAGACATTAAATGAATTACGGGTAAGATGGTATTTTTATTTTATTTATTTTGTGTGTTTATATGCATGTGTAGTATATATACACATGTATATGCATGTTCTAGTATGGGGATACGTGTATGTGTAGGTGGGTGTGTATTGTAGGCCAGAAATAGACATCAAGTGGCTTCCTCAGTCACTTTCCACTTTATTTCCTGAGATAAGGCCTCTCACTGACCCCAGACTTTACTGATTCCAGCTAGTCTAGCTAATGAGCTTGCCCTGGAGATCCTTTGCCTCTGAGAAGATGTGAACTCCAGTCCTTATAATTGCAGAATAAACACTTTATCTACTGAACTATTTCCCTAGCCCTTGATTTTTATACTAAAAAGTCAGTAATATATTGATTGAGCATCCAGATATTTATGAAAACAAAATATTTTTTATGTTTTATTGATGACAGCAAAAGCCACTGGAGTGAAATGGTTTTAAGTGATATACCTAAGGCTAAATATAGAAGAGAAAGGTTATTAAAGGATGACTATCAGTTTCTATTTCAAAGATTATGTAATAATCAGTTTTCATTGAGGCTTCATAGTGTGATTACAATTATTTTCGTGTAAATTTTGTGGCTGTGTTATTTGGTTTATTATCTCTTTTTAAAAAATAAAAAGTTTGCCAGGCGGTGGTGGCGCACGCCTTTAATCCCAGCACTCGGGAGGCAGAGCCAGGCGGATCTCTGTGAGTTCGAGGCCAGCCCGGTCTCCAAAGCGAGTTCCAGGAAAGGCGCAAAACTACACAGAGAAACCCTGTCTCAAAAAAAAAAAAAGTTTGTTTTGTCTGTGCGTATGTCTGGCATCGTGTGCATGTAATGCTTGCAAAGGCCAGAAGAGGATGTTGGGTCACCTAAAACTGGAGTTACAGGTGGTTGTGACTCTCCATGTAGGTTCTGGGAATAAACCTGGCCCTCAGCAAGAGTAGCCAGTGCTCTTAACTGAGCTATCTCTCTAGCCCTTTATTACATGATTGTATTTCCTTAATTTCTGTGTACCTATCTGTAATTATTTTTTCAAATTGTTTGCCAACTTAATAAAACCTCTTATTATGTGTATTGACCCATTAGTTCCCCACTTTGCCTCTCATTATACTCTTGTTCTAATTCATACTAGTTTCTCTTATGTCTCCTCCACAGCTTTTGTCTTGAGACATTCCTAAACCACAGACATGGAAAATTCCTTTTCTCCTCTTAGTTTCTCTGTTTGTGCTTTGATCTTTTATCGTAAATCTTTTGTCAGTACTATATCACAACTTCTCAAAATAAATGGTGTATAGGAGATAGCAAGTTTTCAAACAAAGCCTAAAAATCTGTTTATTTTTAACTTGAGTTTGATTAGTTGTCTCTATACAACTTGGAAATACTTTGTCTGATAAAGTTTTGTAACATATTTGTGTTGTTATTGAAGCCATGCACTGTCTTGTTTTATAATCTTTTGTAGTGATCTTTATTTTTCTCTCTGGAAGCTTTTAGATCTTTTCTTTGTCCCCAATGCTCTGAAATTTCATGATGCTGAACTCTGAAGGGTTTTTATTTGCTTGATTTTTCAAGTTTATTGTATTGCTTTGAATTGGGTAGTTTAAATCACTATTTTCATATTCTGTTTTTTAATTTTTAAATTTGAACTTGACTTTTTAAAATTTGAACTTCCTGGTGCTGGAGAGATAGCTCAATGGTTTAAAAGCACTTGCTCTTGCAGAGGACTCAGGTTTGAATCCCAGTATTCACATGGTGGCTTACAACTATCTGTAACTCCAGTTCCAGGGGATCTGACACCCTCTTCTGGCCTCCATAGGCACCAGACACGCACAGTGCACAACATACATGCAGGCAAAACACCCAAACACATAAAACATTTTAGTTAGACTGCCTGCTTGTTGCTTGTTGTACAATGCAATATTTTACCTATTAATTTATCAAGTATTTTAGACTGTCATAAACTCGTATTGACATTCCTAAAAGTACTTTGCAGTCATCCAAGGAGTATGATAGGCATAAGATACTGGCAAATTTTTGGTCCAGTATTTTTGGGTAAATAAAAACTATACTTTTGTAAGAATCTGATTCCAAATCCTAGTCTTCATTAAAGGTACTATCTTCCTCCACAATTTAATACTGTATCTCACTTAATATTGTATCTCACTTATTTTTAGTAGGTATGCAGGCACCATGTGATGACTCCAACCAGGAGATGTTTACATAGCTACATTCCCCTGCCACTGAAACTTACAATTGCATTTCCACATTTACCACAGAGGTTATTTTACAGGCATCTCTAACGCCTTTAAGGCAAAGATACACAATGAATTGATTATTCATTATATGTGAAACCTCACAAAGTCCTGTGAGTTTTTCCTATTTGTAAGACTAAACCAATTGCACTTTCCATAAGAGATATTTATGTTAATATCACTTTTAAAAAACTAAAATTTATATAACATATAAATTTGTATAAAACTTAGTAGTTTTGTGTGCATTTTCTCCATAAAACAGGTTTGGTCTCAGTGATCTATGTTTTTAGATGTTTATTAGAGTCATTCTCTTTCTCTTTTTAAAGATATCATAGTTACTTAGCAAAAATTGCTGTATTTGTTGTTCATTATGCATCCACAGACTGCTTTACTTCTAATAAATTTTCCCTTTTCTTTTCTCTTTTCTAATTATTTTCCCAGGAATTCACCAAGATGGGAATGAAGTCCTTTAGTCTGATAAAGCTATGCAGAAATAGTGACCGAAAACAGGCAGCTGCCAAATTTTATACCTTTCTTATCCTGAAAAAACATCGAGCTATTGAGCTGAGCCAGAGTGTTCCCTATGCAGATATTATAGCTACAGTGGGACCAATGTTCCACAAGATATGAAAGAAATCCAGAGCATGCAGGTTTATGCCATCACTGGCACTTCTGCATAGACTGTTCAGTTTGCTGCAGAAGCTATCAAGAAACAGCAGATGGTCTGGCCCATTTCACAGACAGTCTGGCCTCCCATTTTCTATCTAGAGGGCAGAACCAATCACAACCAGAATTGGAAACCTATATGGAGATAGTTAAGTCACTTTTTAACTTAACCGATTTATCATTTCCCTGATCTGAGGACTGCTTTTAGATTGTGTTTAGCATGCATTGTAAAATACAGTGTACCTTCAGGAAACATTCAAGGGTGTTTGGGGGTTTTTTGTTTGGTTGGTTTGGTTTTTGGTTTTTTTGAGACAGGGTTTCTCTGTGTAGTTTTGGTGCCTGTCCTAGATCTTGCTCTCTAGACCAGGCTGGCCTCGAACTCACAGAGATCTGCCTGGCTCTGGCCTCCCGAGTGCTGGGATTAAAGGTGTGCGCCACCACCGCCCAGCCTCAAGGATGTTTTTTAAAAGACTGTTTTACATTGGATTATTAAAGTTTGTGGGGTTAATGAATAGTTAATATTTTCTTACTTGTAGACATTAGTTTATTTGATCTACTTTGTATCATCATTGATAGTACCTATTTCTCTAATTTTAATCTAATATCTTAGTTAAAGAATTATAAAACTTATTTTAAATTACCTGAGTTACTTTTAGTCTGGTTATGGGCCATATAACTTTTTCATTTAATATTTAATAACTTTATTGTCACCATTAATGTCCTAGTGAAACCAAAGCTGCTTATGTTAAAAACAAAATAAAACAAAAAACTGGCAGACACTTGTTAACGTTTTACCTGCACATTCAGTCGTAGTAAAGACCACTGAAACAGATGCTCTTTTACTTAGTGTGTACTGAGCATTTTTACCAGTAAAATCATTTGTTTTTTTTCTTAGTTAATGTTTGAGTCAAAATTTTTCATATGCTCTATGAACTGCAAAGTAAACTATAAAATGTGGCCTGTGTCACTGTAAATAATGATACTGAAGTTACACTGTGAACAGTTCAGTTCTAAAGAGATTCTTTGAATATATTTAACTAAGATGCAAATAACAGAGTTGTCTTAAATATTTTTATTTTTAAATTAATACAGAAAAAATTTGCTTGATTTTTGGTGTACAGGCCTATAATTTATATATGTATATATGTTTGTGTGATAGATATCTCCATCACCACAGTCTAGACATAGATCATCTTTTAAAAAAATCTTTCCATGTTATCTTCTTGTGGTAGTCCCCCATTCTAATAGCTAGCCACTATTCTCCATGACTATACTTTTGTCTCTTTGGGAATGTTATATAAATGGAATTATATAGCATGTAACATTCTGAGAGTGGTTTCTTTCACTCAGTGTAGTACTCTTGATATGTATCCAAGTTCTTTGGTCTATCATTGTTTTGTTCCTTTTAAATGCTTAGTAGTATTCTGTTGCCTAGATATATTAGCTCATTTGTACTTTTACTCATTAAAAGACAGTTGTTATTTCCAATTTTGATGATTATAGAGCTATAAGCATATATAGTTTTATAAAGATAAAAGTGTTTCTCTAAGAGTAGCATTTCTAAGTCATATATAAATGTATATTTAAATTTATAACAAATTATTTGCCATAAGTTGCACTATTTTGTATTTATACTAATAAAATATGAGAGCTTCAGTTCACTTGTGATTTCGTTTGTTTTGGGAGACGGGGTCTCTCACTATGTAGCTATGGCTGGCCTGGAACTCTACTGTAGACCAGGCTGGCCCTGAACTCACAGAGATCTCCTGCCTTTACTTCCTGATTTCTGTGTAAAGGTATGTGCCACCACACTTGTAGGTTTTGATATTATTTTTGTTGAGTATTTTTTTTAGCTATATTCCTTTTTTTAACCAAAATTTTCTTTACATAAAATATTGAGATACAATCTAATTTCTAAGATGAAATTGTATGTATACAGTCGTACTTATAAGTATGCTAAATCAAAAGCTGTACAATAATGAGTAATATCAATGGGGCAAATGTGGGCACAAGTGAAAACACTTTTGAATTCCCT